GCGCCCCGCGGGGCGCCGCCGCGGGCGGGGGGGGGGGGAGCCTCTCCTGATGCCAGCCCTGCTCAGGTCAGCTCTGAAGGAGCTCAGTACCCAAACGGGCAAGCCTCCCCGTGTCTATAGGGTGAGCGGTACGTGCCTGCCCGGTCCCTCGCACCCATAAGTGCCCTCATCCTGCGCACGGCGGCGGGTCTCTGATCACCCCAAAGCTCCCCTGATCCCAGGTGCCGGGTGAGACGCCAAACCACCCACCCGCCTTTGGGGACGGGGGACCACATGGAGCCCTGAGCAACAACCCGCTGCCACCAGGACGTGGGCTTAAACCCGCTGTGCCCCCCAGGCTCTCCTCCCACGGCTGCCCCCTTCACAGGCTCCTGCCCAAGGCAGGGCTTGCGGGAGGCTCCGTAGGTGCCGGGGTGAGCAGAAGCTGGGCCGGGCACCCAGACCCCCCGGCATGGGCTGTGCCCGCCCATAGCTACCCCCCACCCTGCTGCCAGCCTGGGAACAGCCTGGCTCTTGCTCCGAAAAGGTCCCCTCTCCCTTTCAAGTGGGCTGGTGAGCTTTGACTTGGTCTTTGCACAGGCTTCATGGCATCGCATAATAATGTTCTGTCACAGTGGGTGACCTGGACCTTGTCCTGTTTCCACACATTTGGAGCCACCTGGCTAATGAAGTGGATATTGTTTTCTGGTCCATCTCTCTCACCCTATTGCTCTTCCCCCTTCCTCCACGCCCAGCTCCTCCGAGCGGTGTCAGGAGCCTCACTGCAATCGGCCTTTTCCCATCGTTGTCCGGCACAGCTCATTAACTCCTCTCAGCAGAAGAGCGTGGTCATTACGGCCGGGGGGCCGATGGGTGCCCCGCAGGGCTGGGAGCACATAGTTTCCCAGCCGGAGGAAGGCACCGGCCCGGCGTAAGCATCAGCCCAAGCTTTCACCAGCGGCTGGGAACGCAGGATGGCTGCACAGGGTTGGGGTTTTTTGGGGGTTTTTTGGGGGTTTTTTTTTGAGTTGAACACACTGTGCTCTGCCCCCTGGCCCTCCGAAGTCACCCGCTTTGCAGCCAGCCCACGGGTGTCACGGGAGGGTCTGGGTGCCCAGTGCTGGCCACCAGCTTCCATGGCTGGAAGTGGCCTCGCCTCCTGCTCCCCCATCACCCACAGCACCAGAGAAGCTCCCCGGTGCCAAACTAGAAGCCCGTCCCCTCACAATCGCCACAAGGGAATAACCGTCCCGGTGCGATGGCCCTTGGCCAGGCAATCCCTTCCCTGCACCCACAGCCTCCTCCAT